TGTTTCCAGCTGGGAGCTGGGGCCTGTCAGTCCTGTCTGCCATGAGGACCTGATGTGGGCCACCTTGGCCAAGTGTCCTTCAGAGCCACACTTAAAGCAAGTGAGTGGGAGCTTCCTCTCTTGTTTTGAAAGCTTCAGTCTTTGATCTTTTGCAACAAATGCTTGAAATCCTCCTGACTTTGAGCAAGCAAGGTTGTTACATGTGCATATTGCAGGTTATTGATAAGTTTTTCTCTGATCCTGGTGCCACATTCTTTTTTATAGAGTCCAGCTTCTTAAATAATTTGCTCAGCATAAAGGTTGAATAGGTATATAAAGAGAATACAACCCTGATACACTCTGTTCTTAATTTTTTACCATGTAGTGGTCTCTTGCCCTGTTCACACAACAGTCTCTTGGTCTAGTATAGGTTTCACATGAGCACAATTAAGTGCTCTGAGATTCTTATTTTTCTCAATGTTAGCCATAACTTGTTATGGTCCACACAGTCAAATGCCTTTGCATAGTCAATAAAACATAAATAGGTGTTCCTCTGGTATTCTTTACTTTTAGCCAGGATCTATCAGTAATATATATATATATATATATATATATATATATATATATCTCAATAATGATATCCCTGGTGCCATAGCCTCTTCTAAATCCTGCTTGAACTCTGGCAGTTCCCTATCTATATATTGTTCTTGCCATTTTTATATGATCTTCAGCAGTATTTTGCTTGCATGTGATATTAATGATATTGGTTGATAGTTTCCACATTCTATTTTAGCACCTTTATTGGGAGTAGAAACAAATATGGACCTCTTCCAATCCATTGGCCGGGCAGCTTTCTTCCAAATTTCCTCGCATAGACTGGTGAACACATCCAAGGCTACATCTGTTAATTGAAACAAGTCAATTGGTAATAATCAATTCTTGAGGCCTTATTTTTTGTCATCACCTTCAATGCAGCTTCAACTTCTACCTTCATTACCATTGGCTACAGCTCATATGATACATCCTGAATTTTTTTAGTATCAGTCAGTTCTTTTTGGTATGGTGGCTCTGTGTGTTTCTTTCATCTTCTTTTGATGCTTCCTAGGTCATTCAGTATATGTCCATAGCATCTTTCATTATTGTGACTTGAGGCTTAAATTTGTTTTTCTGTTCTCTCGAGAAATGCAGAGCAAGTTCTTCCCTCTTTATTTTCCAATTCCAACTCTACACATGCCATTATGATACTTTGCTTTGTCTTCTTGAGCTGCCCTTTGAAATCTTTTCAGCTCTTTTACTTCAGCATCTTTTCCCTTTGTTTTGGTTTCTTGATGCTTCAGTGCAATTTTCAGAGTCTCTTCTGACATCTATTTTGGTTTTCTTTCTCCTCTGTCTTTGTAAGGGACTTTTGCTCTATTCATAGATAATATCCTTGATGTCATCACGATTAATCTGTGATAACTAGTATTTGATGCTTCAAACTTATTATTAAAATGATTTTGAAATTCAGGTGGAATAGATTCAAGGTCATATTTTGGTTCTCATAGCTTTGTTTTCATTTTTTTCAGCCTCCATTTGAAATTGCACATGAATAATTGATGGTCTAACCCACAGTCCACCCTTGGCCTCCTTTAGACTGCTGATTTTGAGCTTCTCTAATAATTCCTCCCACAGAAGTAGCCAATCTGATGTCTATGCAGCCCAACAGGTGAAATCAATGTGTAAAGTCACCATTTATGTTTTTTGAAAGTGTTTACAATGAATAAATCATTGAAAATACAAAATTTGATCATTCTGTTTCCAGCCTCATTTCTGTCACCAAGTCCATACTTTCTAACTACTATTCATTCTTCATTGTTTCTAACGTTTACATTCCATTCCAGTTACCAATTATCATTAACACATCTTGATTGCATATTCAGTCAATTTCGGCCTGCAAGATTTGGTAAAAATCTTCAATTTTTTCCTCTTTGTCTTTAGATGTAGGTGCACATATTTGAATAATAGTCATATTAACAGGTTTTCCTTTTACGACATCAGGCTGGAGACTAAGGTGTGCCTGATCCAGGCTATAGTCTTTGCAATTACATGCTATGCATCAGAGAGTTGGACAGTGAATAGGGATGATAGAAAGAGAATTGATGCCTTTGAGTTGTGGTGCTGGAGAAGAGTGTTGAATATACCATGGACTGCTAGGAAAACAAACAGGTTTGTCCTGGAGAGGGTGAAGCCAGAATTCTGTTCCCTGGAGTCAAGGATTCTGAAGCTTCGTCTGACATAATTTGGGCATGCTGCAAGGAGGGACTTGTCGTTGGAGAGGAACATCATATTTGGGAGAGTGGAGGGACGGCGCAGGAGAGAAAGACCCTCGATGAGATGGATCGATTCTGTGAGTGGAGTGGTGGGAATGAATGTGTTTGAGACAGAGAGGTTGGCACAGGATAGAATGGCGTTTAGGGCTCTTGTACATAGGGTCGCTATGAGTTGCAAACGACTCGATGGCACATAACAACAACAAGAACACCAATATATGAATAATATCCTATCCCTCACTACATTGTACTTCAGGATAGAACTTGAAATTGACCTTTTTGACTATGAATGCAACACCATTCTTCTGTTTTTCATTCCCAGAATAGTATACCATCTGATTCAGTGTCCAAATCCAGTCCATCTTATTGCACTAATTCCTAGAATATCAATGTTCATACATTCCGTTTTTCACAATTACTAATTTTTCAACCTTCAATATTTTTTGTTATTATTTTACGTGTGTGTGTGTGTGTGTGTGTGTGTGTGTACCATCAAATCAGATCTGACTGGTACAAGAGGAGCTTGCCCCTCCTTCTCCAGCAGAGCATCTGGTGGATTCAAACTGTGTACCTCTGGGATTCCAGTGCAGCTTCTTGCCACTAGGCCACCAGAGCTCCCTCCACCTTCAATCTTCATACATCTCATGTTCCAGTTATTCAATGATGTTTGCCATTAATTTTCGTCATTTTGACTGACTTCCAATCTGACCTCTACCTCTGGTACTGTAACTATCTGCATCCCTCTACTGTTCATAGGTTTTCAGAGGCAAATTATTTAAGAAGCGAATGGTCAATCCTACTTCCTAGTCTGTTTTAATCTGAGAGCTTTACTGTCTAAAAACTAAAAATGGGCAACCCTATGGTTAGTTGAGATCTAAGAAGTAGGTCTTTTTTATTTTATTAATAGTCAGTTGTGGGCTGGGAGCCTCTTGTTTAAACCAATTAGGACCTTGTGTGTAGGCCTTTGTAATTCAAAGCTGGTTGGGCCTGAGTGCCACAGGTGAAGCCTGATTAGAGGTACAAACTAAATTGTCAGTTTATTTTATTTGGGGAATATTGTTTTAATTGGTACAGCACATGTCTGTCAGTTTGCTGTGCTGAGATAACCTGTAGATTGCTGTGTTCTGTGACAACTAGAGTTCATTTATTTCTATGCTGTCTTGTCATTCAAATTGTTGTAGCCATCAAGTTGGAACCAATTCATAGGTAACTCTTCAGTGGGTTTTTAGAGGCTATACATTGCACAGGAGGAGACTGCCCACCTTTCTCCTGAGGAATGTCTGATGTATTTGAATTGTGTGACTTCAAGTTACCAGCGCAACTTCTTACCCACTAGGCCAGCTGAGCTCTGGTCACATAAAAGCCTGATATATTCAAGTTGATTCATTTGAGCTGTTTTATTTAGGGTGATTCTTTGATAAAACTGTATTTTCAATTTTGGTTATTGTGATTTTTTTATTTGCTTCCCATAACAAGTCAAATATACTAGCTTACTTAATGTCAGTTTGGAGACTAAAGTACACCTAGTCCAGGCCATAGTCTTTGCAGTTACTTGCTATACATCAGAGAGTGAACAATGACTAGGAATGATAGAAGGAGAATTGACGCCTTTGAGCTGTGGTGCTGGAGAAGAGTATTGAATGTACCATGGACTGCTAGGAAAACAAACAGGTTCATCCTAAAATGGGAAAGACCAGGCAGCTCCTTAGAGGCAAGGATTCTGAAGCTTCGTCTGACATACTTAGGACATGTTGCAAAGCAGTACCACTCCTTGGAAAGGGGCATCATGCTTGGGAGGGTGGAGAGACAGCTCAGGAGAGGGAGACCCTCGATGAGATGGATTGATTCAGTGACTGGGGTAACGGGGTTAGGTGTGTTAGAGACAATAAGTTTGGCACAGCATAGAGCAGGGTTTAGGGCTGTTGTACATAGAGTTGCTTTGAGTTGCAGACGACTCAACCACACATAACAACTTGTAGCAATATTTGTTAGTCCTTATTGTTAATCTTACATTCATGTTCTCTTTTTATTATATAAAGTGACTAATTTTTGGTATAAATAGTCTCAGTACCTACCTGTTAGCATTTTTACATCTTCTTTTCTGAAAATTATTTCTTAGATCTCAGGACTTCCAGAAGAAAAGAGGTATTTACCAAGAACAGATTATTTTTTGAATAGTTAGGCCTAAAATGGCCACAGACTTGGTCCTTCAGACTCCAGAGACTCAGGAGAGACTTCTCACAGTGATGGTAAAGGAGGAAGAAAAGGACCAGGCCCTTCACACCAGAGAGATCTTTCGTAGACGCTTCAGGCAGTTGTGCTATCAGGAGACCCCTGGACCCCGAGATGCTCTTCACAGACTCCAGGAGCTCTGCCGACAGTGGCTGAGACCAGAGGTTCACACCAAGGAGCAGATCCTGGAGTTACTGGTACTGGAACAGTTTCTGACCATCCTGCCTGAGGAGCTCCAGGCCTGGGTGAGGGAGCACCACCCTGTGAGTGGAGAAGAGGCAGTGATGGTACTCGAAGACTTGGAGAGAGAGCTGGATGAGCCAGGAGAGCAGGTGATGGGAAAGGGGGAGCAGTAGTTTGTACTTACAGGAACAAGTATGAGTTATTTGTGAAATAAGTAGATTTCTTTATGCCTGACTTGATCTAGTGTAGGTTCTTAATCTTTCTATGTTGGATTTTTCTTTGCCAAATTCTTAGTCTTTCTTTTCATACGCAGAGATCCTGAGTAGGCCACGTTACAGTATCCTCTCTGGTATATGTTCCCAACTACCCTTTAATTCTATCAGGTCCCAATCCATGCTCATGGACTGGAAGAATGTGTGAAGGAGACAACAACTCTTGGAGCAACCCAGGAACCTTCAGGATCCCAGCTGGAAGCATTAGAAGAAAAGCTTCAATGTAACTTGCAAGAGATGTATCCAGTTCAAGAAATTGGTGAGAATTAGAATTTTATAAAAAAGCCTAATTCATTTCCTAAATGTTTAGCAATTTAATTTATTTATTTCGTTTCTGCTATCAGGAGCTCTGGGGGCCCAGTGGTAAAGTACTTGGCTAATATGAAGGTCAGTGATTTCAAACCACTAGTGGCCAAACAGGAGAAAAGACCTAGGGATTTACCATAGATATTTCAGCTGAGGAAACCCTTTAAGGCTATTCTACTCTGTCATCTCGGGTCATTCTGAGTTAAAATTGACTCTACAGCAACCAACAACATACTTCAGGAAAAAAGTACCTGGATGTTATAAATGGTTAATTGCTTGCCTACCAATCAAAAATTTGGTGGTTTGAATACACCCATTGGTGCCTCAGAAGAAAGGCTGGGCAATATCCTGTAAGTTTACAGCCTTGGAACAATTCTCATGGCGACCCGATCGGGTTGACATGGGTTGAAACTGACTTGATAGCAGTTGTCTTGTTGGTTTGTCTTTTATATGTTGGGCACTATTTTTAGTACTGAAGATATAGTGAGAATATTAAAATACATTTCTTGTCCTTATGGCTTTTAAAATTTTTTTTGTCTGTATAGTATTTACATTCTGATAGAAGAAGTGAGCAATTAAACAAGCAATTTCAATAAAGCCTGCTTTCTTTCTGAAATGGAGACAAATCCATATATGATTGCTTTAAAGTGAGGAAAATAAACAGGAACAATAATTACTTGTCATCTTTTACACATTCCCCTAGCTGTTTTCCCCACCCTTTTTTGTCTTTGGAAGGATAACATTCGTGTTAACCAGGTACTATCATTTACTATTTCAGATGTACTAGGTGGTACTTGGAATGTGGAATTAGCTCCAAAGAGGGAGATTTCTAAAGATATGAAGTGTCTTGTGGAACTATCTGGAAAACGAAATGGTGATATTTCTCAAGTTCCTGAATGTGGAGACACCTATGACAATGAAGGAAGGTTGGAAAAACAGCGAATTAGCTCTTCAGTGGAGAGACCCTTTATCTGTAGTGAATGTGGAAAAAGCTTCACCCAGAACTCCATCCTTATTGAGCACCACAGAACTCATACAGGCGAGAAGCCCTATGAATGTGATGAGTGTGGGCGGGCCTTCAGCCAACGGTCAGGCCTTTTTCAGCATCAGAGACTCCACACAGGGGAGAAGCGCTACCGGTGTAGCATTTGTGGCAAAGCCTTCAGCCAGAATGCTGGGCTTTTCCATCACCTCAGAATCCACACTGGGGAAAAACCCTACCAGTGCAATCAGTGCAATAAAAGTTTTAGTCGGCGGTCAGTCCTTATTAAGCATCAGAGAATTCACACTGGAGAGAGACCTTATGAATGTGAAGAATGTGGCAAAAACTTCATTTATCACTGTAACCTCATCCAGCATCGGAAAATCCACCCTGTAGCTCAATCCAGATAACTTCTTGGAGCAGGTAGGACAGAATTTCCTGATATGAGACCACTAGGCAAAGTAGCTCAGGGATTACTTCTTTTTTGTCCCTAAGAGAGAAATTCAAACTCAGCTCATTGCTATTGAGTTAGAACCAATTCATAACAGACCCTGCAGTGGGCTATAAGTTGCACAAGAAGAGACTACCTATCTTTCTCCTACCTCTAAGAGAATAGTGAGAGAATAGTTAATACTTTAATCTTAAAGTTTGGAAAGCTCCAGGAAAAGCTAGTGAACATGCCTTTATTCTTGTTCTGAGAGAAGTAAATATCTTAAATAACATCTGTAAAGTTTTCTGTGGTCAATAACATCTATGGCTTTACCATACTAATATTAACTTCTTGTTTCACTTCACCTTCATCATGATGTATACTGTAGATCTAGCCACACACACACCCGTGCAAGAAGTTTTCTAGGTACACTTCAGGAAAACTGTTCTTCATCCTAATTTTCAAACACTCTTAAACATATTAAATGGGGTTTTTATAAATGTTTAAAAGCAGTTTGAAGCCTGAGTTTGAAATAGAATGTCAAGAGCAGTTCATGGAATATTTAAAAATGAATAATGATATTTCTAGTCTAATATAAATTACCTTATTTCTAATGTACATTACCTAATTTCTTTCTTATCTCATAAGATATGTTAATATACCTTTTATTCTACAAAAGAGCAGATTAATATAAATCTATTTCTTTAGATTTTTAGTTACTCAGCATTTAGTTAAAGATCAAGTAATTCAAGCAAACACATGTTATTAGCAGCTCAGTGACTTCACAACAAATATTTGTGGAGAAACAAATGTGAATAAAATCTGATATCTTACTTCCTATCTTTGTCTTGAAAATACTACCTTTTCCCATTCTTTCTGTGGTGTATAATAAGCATTTTTAATTTTCCTTTTTTTAACATTTTGTTATGGAAAATTTCAAACATATTCAAATGTATAGAGAAGATTGTATGATCAGTTTTTCATACTGATTGTTTTTTATAACCTCCACACTTGTCATCATTTTCTATTGATTATCTTCAAGGACATGCATCCTCACATGACTGTTTACAAAGGCCCAGGAGACAAAAAGGAAAGCCTACAAAGAAGACATTCTAGCAGACCAAATACAAGAGTTGTTGTTATTGTTTAATGCCGTCAAGTCGTAGATGACTCATAGCGACCCTGTGAACAAACAGCCTGAGCACTGTTCGTACATAGAGTTTCCGGAGGCAAGCCATTTTGGAAGTGGATGCCACTCCTGCTTTCAGAATACAAGAGTAGATAAGAATAATAGAAGAACTATAAGAAAACTTTGACAGTCAATTACCTTATTTGACAAATTAGCAAATGGAGGTTCTGGGAATGATCCCAAATCACATAACTAGTAAAAGCAAAAGTAGCACTTGTTGTTAGGTACAGTCAAGTCAAATACAACTCAGCAATTCTATGAACAACCAACCTGAAACCTATCTTATCCAGTGCCATTCTCATTATTTCTGACACACATTGCTGAAGGCACTGTGTCTGTCCATCTCACTGGTGGTCTTCCTCTCCTTTGCTGATCTTCCATCCTTTGAAGTATTATATACCTTTCCATTGAATAGCCTTGCCTAGCTACATGTCCAAAGTATGAAAGACAAAGCTTTATCATCTTTGCCTCCAAGGAGCACGCTGGCTGTCTCCAAGATATATCTGTTTGTTCTTTTGGCAGCCCATGGGATATTCAACACTCTTCTCCAACACCCAACTCAAAGGCTTCACTTCTTCTTCTATCATTCTATTTCATTGTCTAGCTCTCTGGTACATAGCAGATGATTGAGAAGACTACGGCCTGAATTAGGTGCAACTTAGTCTTCAAATGAACATCATTGCTTATCAGCAGGAGAGGTCCCTGACAGCATATTTGTCCAATACAATGTATGTATCTCCTGATTTCCTAACTGCTGTTACCAAGGGTATTGATTGTTGATCCAAGGAAGGTAATATCATTGATAGCTTCAATCCTTTCTCCATCTATCATAATGTTGACTGTTGGACCTGTGGTGAGGACCTTTGTTTTCTTGATGTTGAGATGTAATCCATACAGAAGGCTGTAGTCCTTGATCTTCTGCAGCAAGCATTTCATATCCTCCTCACTTTGAGCAAGCAAAGTTGTGTCATCTGCGAGTCTTCCTCAAATCCTGATCCTATATTCTTCTTCACAGAGTCAAGCTCCTCAAATTATTTGCTCAGCACACAGATTAAATAGATACAGAGAAAGGATACAACCTTGATGCACACTCTTCCTGATTTTAAACCATGCAGTGTTCTCCTACTCCATTTGGAGAACAGCTTCTTGATCTAGGAATAGATTTTGTATTAGCACAGTTAAGTGTTCTGGGATTTCCATTCTTCTCAATCTTAGCCATAATTTGTTATGATCTACACAGTCAGATGCCTTTACATAGTCAATAAAACACAGACAGACATTCTCCTGATATTCTTTTGGTATTCTGGACATTACGTAGAACTCTTATAATAGGCTTTTGGGTTTTTGGTTTTTTCCAAACTAAGGAGCTATAAGATGAAAGAGGAAAAAGGCAGTATTTCCTTGTGAAAGCTAAGATAGAACATATAAAAAACCTTTTAAGAGGTTATTAGAAATTTAGGTGAGAGGGATGGTAGGATGGAAGCACAGAACTTTCTTGAAGAATAGATGGAAAACAATTTGGAATTTCCAGACTTACATTGTAGAGGAAAGTGGGAACAGAGGGCACTGAATAGCATCTTGAAGGGATAATGCAAGGGTGATGAGCCATTTTAAGCCAGCAGTGCAATGAGTGGTATCCAGGCATTGAGCTGAATAGCTTCATAAGTTAATACATTGAATCCACATGTGGAACCAGAACCCCTTTCTCACTTCATGGTACCAAAGACTCTGTTTTTGTTATCTCAACATCTTTCACAAGGCCAGTGACATTGTAGTCTTACCACACTACCATTGCATTCTCCTGGTTTTCTCTTAACAATGGGCAGAAAGAGATCTACAAGCCCCAAACTGCTGGTGATTAGGAAATGGATTTAAGCATTTAAAACAAAGAACAAACTATCATTTGCCCCTCTTTTGCTGCTTTCTTCAGGCACAGTTTATCATTTATGAACTTGGAGGTAGTACTGACTAGGACAGGTGAACGTGGATGCGAGGTGTTTTACAAATAAGAACAGCTAGGAGAACTCCCTCCCACCTCCCTTTGAGAACCTTTGATCTTCTGAAAGACTAGCCCAATTCCAGGCGGGATCAACAATTCTCTATGTACCTGTGCCTATATCCCTGGGATGTGGTTGTAGTCCCTTCTATTGGGTTGCAGATCTTGAAAAGTTAAATGATTCTTAACAGTTAAGATACGAAGCAGTTCTTTAAGTTTCTGTTAGGAATTAAAGTGATGAATCTCCCTGAAGTCTGATGTAGATAATCTAAAGGCCAGACTCTGGAAGACTCGGGGGCTCAGGAGATCCTAGGGCAGCTTGGTGCTGCTCTGTATTCACAGTGAGGGAGATAAGAGGTATCAGCCCTGTGTAAGTGGTTGATGGCACGAGAGGTTGCAAGCCTCGGTCAACCATCCACACATGAGTTTGAGTGGTTCCAAGAAGGTTCTACAGTTGTGAGGATACTAACGTGAGCCAAATACAAATCAACCGGATTGCTGGGTCCTCCGTGCTACCTAGAGAGGACACAGAAAAGCCAGCAGAGACATATTTGGGCATTGTGATGTATTTCCGATTTCTGTGGCATAGTTTGTAACCAACCCACTTAGCCCTTTCTCTGCAGACAAGTCTTCGCTTCTAACATTAGCCAATTCTGAATGGTGGAGGTAGAAAGCAAGCTCTGTGTCCTGGCAGGATACCCTATACATCTAGGAGTTCATGGAACCTGGTTCTCCTCTCTAGTAAAGAGCACATCTCAGGAGTTGGATTCACTTTTTTTGTTGGTGCCCTGGACTTTTCAGATATGTAGAGAGCTGAACATAAATGCCATATTCAGTTTATCACACCCACTGCCCTTAGAGATGCCTCTCTATGGTCCATTGGCTGATGAATCCTTAAGGCTGAAAGATGATTTCTTCATGTATCCCTTTCCTGAGCCCTAAAATCATATTAACACAGTCTATAGGGAGTTGGCTCCTAACTCAAAGGCTACACTTCTCTGGTGGTTTGAATCCTCCAGATGCTTGAGTGAAAGATGGGCTATTTTCTCCCATGGGATTGCACCTTCAAAACCTGCTAGAAGGTCAGCCATGAGTTTGTTCTGACTGAACGGCAATGAGAGATCTCGAAAGCCATATTACCTGATGAGATTTCAGTATTCATAAAAACCCCTTACAGTAATGTTCACATTGTTCACAACATATATATTATAAAGGCCTAGTAATTTTAAAGCAATTTTACCATAACTTTATCCTCTTAATTTTGCAAACGGGTGGTTTTTATTCAGAAGTTAGCATATTAACAAAATCAATATTTATTTAGTGGCAAATGTGTACCAGACTCTCAAATGTCAGGAAAAATTGGAATAAACCAGATAACAGACACTGTACAGTATAATGGTAAAAGACAGATAAACAATTACAATATAGATGGTAAGGGCCTTGAGGAGAAAAAGACAAAGTTAGCACAGACAAGTATCTTTGGAGTAGAGTATGGAGAGCCAAAGATAGATTAAAAAAAAAAGGTAGATTCCTTGACTAGGCAATAGCAGAGCTAGCTCAGTGGAAGAGTAGAAGTTGGCTAGCAAAGAGGAAATGGACCCTGGTTGATAGATATAATGTGACAGAGTGATAATAAAACTGTTTTAGAAAACTGCAAGTAGGTATATTGGAGCTGGGGCAAAGAGGAAAAGTAGATAGTACCTAAAATTTACCGAAGAATTTAGACTGTTTAGAGTGGTATGCCACCACTCATCTGTCAGTTTGTTTGATTGTGGTGGCTTGCTTATTATTGTGA